TGCATGTTTAAATTGGAGGAATTATTCTTGCTTAAGGTCTCTTGATCTATATTATCTCCTTTTTTTATATCAATTCTCTTGTCAAGTAAGGTGATTTGTGAAGTAAAGCGATCTCAATTTGTACCCTTCAAAGAGCCAAGATCCAGATGGATGACATTGGGAAAGCAAATGTCGAACAATGCGTTAACTTCGGCAGATGGCAAAGGCACTGGACAATCAATGCACAATTTTCGAAGATATTGCGAAGTCTAGAAATATGCAAAAAGAGTGAACGAACACCTACATCCTGATTCATCAATTAACAAAAGTATGAAACAGAAGGCAAGTTATTTCAAAGCAAAATTTCAAAGTAAGACGATTCAAGACGATAAGTCTGTCCTCATAGCTTCGATTAATCACGACCCATAAAACACGAAAATTTCCCTTACTGATTCCAGGTATTTCAGGCAAAAAAGATTATTAGTATAAAGCTTACCCTGTGAAAGAACATTTTCACACTGCCATATTTCAATGAAAAATCGTCAACTAACACCCGAACTTCGGTGAATAAACTGGAATAATTCGCCAAATAATTCCAACGGCGACAAACCAAAGAACAACCATGGATCAAATCGACCGGATGACAATAACCAAATACTGTCAACAATATATCATCCGACAAATCATTGACTGTAGTGAGTATTTCCTTAATGAATTACAGCTAAAAGAATTTTCATCTGGTTCATTTGCAATGTCTCGTGACATTGAACTATACTTTCCAAGATTATGTGATAAAAAATACCTCCTTGACACTTGAATTGGTCGGAAATTCGCCGGCATCCATTTCAATTCCGACTGAAATCTGAAAATCCTCTATTCATTTTATTGAGGAATGTAATAAAAATATCGTAGAAAGCAAGTCAGATTTGTCATGCCGATATGAAAACTGAACCACTTTGGACTTCAGACTGGTGACGTCGCGTCGAGCAGATGAATAAGAGGCGCGACCAAGTTGTATCAATGGATAATATGCTTGCATCCGATAAGCATTAGTACTAAAATTATTAAAAATCAAATCCTGTACAGTCTCCTATTCAATCGAAATGCAATCTGATGGAAGATTATTACTCCACGTCAAAAATCTTGTGACCCTCCCGGTTTTTGAGCTCTCTCCAACAATATTCAATAGTACAAAAAAACTTACGCCTTAAAAAACTTATATTTCCTGTCTATCGTATCATATTTGTGCGATACAGGCCAATACTGCCCGGGCGACTCCGTTATTGCATCCATTCTAAAAAATCATCATATATGTATATATATATGTTAAAAAAAAGGTGGCTTTACAAAGCCCGTCTCTTTCAACGCAGCCAACGGGCATCTTCTGATGCGGCCGAACAAAGACAAAAAGACAAGGGTATACACCTTCCTTGAAAGGTATCCTCAAATTGACACTGACACTCGCATTTTGGAACATCAAAAATATGCTTAATAATGCGGAGAGTAGATGTCCCGAGCGTCGTTCTGCTCTAATCCTCACGAATTGCAGAGATTGCTGAGCACTGAGCTTTTTGAACTGGAAGTCAGCTTGAAGAAGACAGAAGTTCTCTACCAACTTCCACTTTAGGAAGGCTACCTTTATCCTCACCATAAGCTAATCAGAGCTCTAGCCAAATCCATAACGCCGCTGGTTTCTTTGGGAACACACTCAGAACCACTCTCGAGGACAAGGAACAACGAAGGAAAAACCGTACCTCATCAATACGTCTGAGAAGACTTTCCTCAATGCCTTTTACAGCTGAACTTGTCTATCCCGCATTGGCCTTTTAAGTTATCAGCGTGTCTGTTGCAGGTTGGCGTATACATATGCTTAACGGAATTACACCTAATGCCCGAACATATTTATTCAAAAACTGACTGAGGGAAAGTTAAATGTTTGCGAGTAATCTTTGTTCTTCCTACTTATGACACTTTGATTTGGTTTTACAACACTCTGATTTGGTTTGTTTCTTGATCTCTACTTCATCTTTCAGAAATTCGTTTCATTTTTGATTTCCTTTTTTTTTTTCATTTTTGACTTCCCGCTCCGTTTTTTTAACTTCTTCAAATTTTGAAAATTATCTAGTGCTGCAAATGTCGGACACTTTCGTATGAGTCACCGTGGTTGACATATCATTATTAAATGTGTCATCCCTTTTGTTTTCTTCACTAGAAGTTTGTTCTGTCTCTTCCTGGACTTATTCACACTTACCATTCATTTGTTTCCCTTGGGTTTTCCAAATAATTCAAATATAATTACTCACTTTGATGCCCAGAATGACTATGTTTTCCATAATTTATAGAATTCCGGTGAATACAAATTATAAATCAATTTCATCACATGCATAAAAAATATATATATGCTGATTTTTTAGAATGGATGCAATAACGGAGTCGCCCGGGCGGTACTGGCCTGTATCGCACAAATATGATACGATAGACAGGAAATATAAGTTTTTTAAGGCGTAAGTTTTTTTATACTATTGAATATTGTTGGGGAGAGTTCAAGTTCCTGACGTGATGTGATAATCCTTCATCAGATTGCATTCCGATTGAATAGAAGGCTGTACAGGATGCTTTTATTTGATTTTTAATAATTTTAGCACTAATGCTTATCGGATGCAAGCATACTATCCACTGATACAACTTGGTCGCGCCTCCTATTCATATGCTCGACGCGATGTCACTAGTCTAAGGTCCCAGGTGGTTCAGTTTTTACATTGGTGCAGCAATTCAGACTTGCTTTCTACGATATTTTTATTACATTCTTCAACAAAATGAATAAAGAATTTTCAGATTTCAATAGGAATTGAAATGGATATTGACGAATTTACGACCGATTCAAGTGTCAAGGAGGTATTTTTTTCCTATTGCATAATGTTGGAAAGTATAATTCAATCTTACGAGACATTGCAAATGGACCAAATGAAAATTCTTTTAGTCGTAAGTAATTCATTAAGGAAACACTCACTACAGTCAACGATTTGTCGGATGATATATTGTTGGCAATATTTGCTTACTGTCATCCGATTGATTTGATCCATGGTTTTTCTTTGGTTTGTCGCCGTTGGAATTACTTGGCGAATTATTCTAGTTTGTTCACCGAAGTTCGGGTGTTAGTTGACGATTTTTCATTGAAATATGGCAGTGTGAAAATGTTCTTTCACAGGGTAAGCTTTATACTAATAATCTTTTTTGCCTGAAATACCTGGAATCAGTAAGGGAAATTTTCGTGATTAATATCAGTAAGGGAAATTTTCGTGATTAATCGAAGCCATGAGGACAGACTTATCGTCTTGAATCGTCTTACTTTGAAATTTTGCTTTGAAATAACTTGCCTTCTGTTTCATACTTTTGTTAATTGATGAATCAGGATGTAGGTGTTCGTTCACTCTTTTTGCATATTTCTAGACTTCGCAATATCTTCGAAAATTGTGCATTGATTGTCCAGTGCCTTTGCCATCTGCCGAAGTTAACGCATTGTTCGACATTTGCTTTCCCAATGTCATCCATCTGGATCTTGGCTCTTTGAAGGGTACAAATTGAGATCGCTTT